GGTTTCTGGTTCAGTTCCCAGTCTGGGCTAACGGTGGGGTCTGTAGTTGGGGGCATGTGAGAGGCAACCAGTCGATGTAACTCTGTGCATTGATGTTTCTCTCCCTCTTTTTCTCCTCTCTCTAAAAATAAATAAGTAAAATCTGAAACCAAGGAAAAAAGAAACTACTGTCTTCCTAAGAAACAGCGTCAACCCTGGGCCCCGCAAGTGTGACCCCAGCGAAGAGTCTGGGCAGAGAAGAGCCCGGTGGAGCCCAGCCTGTCCCTGCGCCCACGACTCTGATCGCAGAGGTTCACTCGCTTTCTGTGGTTTTTCAGTGACTCTTGCCTCCCAGTCGCATTGGCAGACTGGGCCGAGTGTCAGCAGCAGACATTTCCCTCAGCGCCCTGCAGCCAAGCTGAGAAGGGCCTGGAAGCCATAAACAAGACTTTAGGAAGACAGAAGGCAACGCAATGGAAACACACATAGCCGAGGACTTGAAATTAAGTAACCCAGCTTGTAAAATGAGGTTTACTCATCTTGGGTGTAGAGCCCACAGAGAGCGACTTCTCTCGCTCCCAGAGCCCAGGGCTCGTTTTAAAAGACGGCCTTCGGCGAGTCACTGTGTATTTTTAGTCATTGTTCTTTGCCTCCAGATACACTTTTGAGCTACGAACCTACCTTCTGGAACTTTCCACTAATCCTCAGCGTGAGTTCCCTGCCTTGCAGCTTTTCCTACTCAAGGGCTCCAGAATGTGCTATTTCCTTTGACTCTATGCCCAAACCATTCTTCAGTCTTCAAAGCCTCCTCCCCTCAGCATCCGTTTTTTTATCTGGTTTGGACCAGAAATTCCATGACATCGGCTCAAGTAAAAGGTTATCTTTGAGTAAGGTGACTGGTGGTTTCTCAATAATAGGAATCAAAATACTCTTGAGTCTTGTATCTCTCATGCATACCTGAGGTGCAAGCATTTTTTTTTTCTCTCACACCAGAAGAAACCTGGAGGGAGCCAGTTGCTGGTCATTGTCGTGGCTCAACATTAGAAAGACCAGTGACCCTACTCCTCTTGTCCTTCCCTCCTGATCACAAGATGGCTGCTGTGGCTCAAACTATCACGTCCATGGTCAAGGAAGGTAGAAAGGGAGGTAGTAAAGCCTGTTGTTTCTTTGGTCAGGAAAGCAAAATCTTCCCCAGGAACCTGCCAGAGGACCTCTGCTTCCCCTGACAAGAATTCTGCCACATGGCTGCTCAGAAGAGAAGTGAAATCACAAGCCATACAGTATTGGGAGAAAAAAATTTACAACACAAAGAATCAGTATTTAGAATATATAAAGAACTTTCACAGTTTGCTAAAAATAGGATACACAGCCCAGTAGAAAAATAGGCAATAGATGTGAACAGGGAAATGACAGAAGAGGATACATTTCTGATGAATAAATTTAGGAAAAGATGCCCAGCCACCTGAGTGACGGGGGAAATGCAAATTAAGACTATGACGAGATACACAGTGCACCCACTAAAGTAGCGAAAAATTAAGAAGCCTCCAACATACGTGTCGATAAGCATGTGGGGTCTCCCCCCGACCAGTGTGGGTGCGGTTAGACGGCATAATCCCTGGCAACGCGACCTGGGGTCACCTAGGGAGGTCGGATTAGGGTGCACCCCACCCCCGATTCCACACGGAAGGCAGGTCACCCAATGATCACAGCAGCATTTTTGTAACAGCAAAAATGGCAATAACCCAGACGCTCATTGTCAGAAGAATGAATGAAATACATTCCTATGATAGACTTCAATGAGTGCAGCAACCTGAACGTAGGAAATGTAGTTTTGAGTGAAAAACATCAAGAGCAGATGACTGTATTTGGCATAATGTTTTTAAAAGCTAAAGAAAAATACATATTTTTAGAGGTACACGTGCATGTAGTTATGTGCTTTTTCAAAAAGAGGCGACCAAGCGAGGAAAAGAGAAACACGAAATTCAGGGTAGCGGTCATCTCCCCTGCAGTGGGGAGAGAGGGGGCCGAGAGCCCACCGACAGGCTCAGGGGTACTGAGGCACCGCACAGGTAAATCCGGCAGCAGATTCACAGTGGCTCATTTTGTTACTGTGCTCCGTAACTTCCTGACGTGTTACATATTATATATATATTGATATATCAAACATTACATAAAACCTAAATAAGGTAAGAAACAAATAGCTTTGGCAATGAGTGTTAGAAAGACGATGATGTACCATGCTGTGAAATTTTGAGGGGTGATACACTAGGTAAGGAGACATTTACATTTTTTATTGTTTTGGTCTAACAGTGCCACCCGCGTATGAGGGAAACTATATTTGCTTCAGTCCAGGTGGGGAGAAAGGACATGAGAACATATAAATAGCCCTGGCTGGTGTGGTGCTAGTGGATTGAGTGCCAGTCTGAGAATCAAGGAGCTGCAGGATCGATTCCCAGTCAGGGCGCAGGCCTGGGTTGCGGGCCAGGTCCCCAGTTGGGGGCGTGTGAGAGGCAACCACACATTGATGTTTCTCTCCCTCTCTTTCTCCCTTCCTTCCCCTCGCCTAAAAATAAATAAATAAATCTTTTAAAAAATAGTACAAATATTCTGAGGGAATGTATTCTTATTGCTTTGCAGACACTTGATGAAGTAAGTGGAAGTCCCGTGACAGAGGGAGACGTACCGACAATTCCAGGTTAACAATACACAGAGAGGAGCAGGAACAGAAGTGAGAATACAGATGTGTTTGCAGAAAAAGTGAAAGTGAAGGGTCTAGACTGCAGTCTCCTTTTCAAACTGCTTAGTAATGAAATGAGAAAGTTAGTTTCATGGAGAGAGCATGTTCGCTTCCCTCTTCGGGGAGACTTAAGGGGTCTCCTTCCCAAACTCACTCTGCTTCTGTCTTAGGCCTGTGTCAGAGGAAAAAATCCAGGCCCCAGACAAGCTCTGCTAAGCATGTAAGGAAGCCTCTGAGCTTTCACATCCAGTCTAGGGACACACTGGTCCCTATCCCCACAGGGGTGTTCCTGGTGTCACTATCCAGTGTGTGTTTCCTTTTTACTCTTTTCACCGTCATTTCAAGGTTACTTAATTCATTCTCGATTCCAGCAATCACACAAGAATCCAATCATGACAGCATACCAAGCAAACAACGCTCCCTCCAAAAACAAACAAAAGCTCCCACCCAGAAACAAAATGACATTCCATAGTCAATCTCTCTTCAGCCAAGGACTTAACTGCTTTTCATTGGAACAGATCACAGATCCTATTTTAAATTACAGCGTGTGACTTCGTACATCTTAATGGACTTTGTTTTGTTGATTCCTTACTAAAGCTGTAACTCCTCCTGCTGACAAAAAATCTGTTAACATATCAGCAATTGATGTTCTTGACTTTCTTCTCACCGCAGAAAATGATTGTTGGCAAGGGAGGGAGACGGGAAAGAAGGTGGTGTCGCCTTCCTAAGGAGTGTTCCTGGAGCCCTCAGGTAAAAGCCCCCCTCCCTGCTGTACACCCGGAATTCACTTCATCACAGGCCCGCCTTTCCCACCGCGGGTGGGGTGTGGGGGGGCGTGCTCCTGGAGGGCACCGACCCTGCGCTCTAGTGTCTCAGCGGCTGCGCAGAGGGTCTTGTATCCAGCTTGTTGGGGTGGAGGCTCGGTAAACGTTGAACCAATGAATGAGTGAAGACACAGTGAACATACACACATTAAACAGTAAGGGGTTTTTTTGAATGCTTACTTTTGAAAAAGTATTTAAAATGTTCATTTCAAAAGTTATTTAAATAAAAAACTGCCCCTAGACTATGTCTGGTCCCCAGTCTCAATACATTTTTTTTTTTTAAAGGAATACTTAATACTTAAGAGACCGCAAGTAATTTCAGTTTCTTGTGGCCTTGCAATCTGGGGGCCTTTTAATCTGGAAGTAAGAGAAACCACACAATAAACTAAGGCATATCACTCAGGGAGAAATTGTTTAAAGCTTTAAAAAAATATAAATAAAAGGTGAAATCCAAAATTCACAGTCGTCCTAAAGAAAAATGGGCTTCTTCAAACGCATTTTTGGTTGTGTGGATCACGTGGTACTCCTCGACTCCCCGAGGGTAATGTTATCTCGCCACTGATTTTTATTTCAGGGGTATTTCGCAAGAAAAGTTTTAGAAGTAGTAATTACAACTTTCGATTTGCATTTTACACATCTGTATGAGAAGTATATGAACAAGGAGGAAAGATACTGATCTTCAACGCCTGGAGAGGGCTGAACCTTTAATAAAACACTCGCACAGCATTTTCCCGGGCTGCACCAGTTCTCGACTACAACAGAGAACGGGGTTTTCCGGCATCCAGTTTTCCTGGCTGGGGAGCCGAGGTGGACTACGCCTCCGCCGGAGTCCTCCGGGTGTCGGGTGAGAGCGGTGCTGCCCGCCGTTCAAGGAGCCTAGGCGACACTTGTTCAGTGGCGGGACGGCTCTTTTCAAGCTCAGGTCCACCGCAGCAGGAGGAGCTGCGCTCAGCTCCGCGCGCCCCAGCACAGTCGCGTGGGGTTAGCGGGTGGAAAATTACCACCGGAGCACTAAAGGCGGCGGCGCTTTACGACGGGCAGGCCGTGGGCTCGCCTACCAAAGCCTTGGGGTGAGAAATCGGATCCCTTATCAGAGGTAACGAGGCCCCAGGGGATGATTTCGCAGGTTCCAGGCCGGACTTGCAGGCCCAGGTGCAGGCCTAGGTGAGTCGAGGGCTCGGAGACAGGGGGAGGGTCTTTGTTACTGTCCCCTGCGGGAAGAGCGGGAGGTAGCCGGGCATCTGGGCTCGGCGTGGGGGCCCAGGTCTCCCCGCGAGGCAGCGAACACCAGCGGCCAGTGCGCGGGTCGCGGCGCCGCGGTCTGGCCCGCACGGGAGCCGCCCCCAGGCTCCACCCTGCCGCCGCGCAGCCTCCTTCAGGGGCGGGCTCCGCGAGCGGGGCGGGGCGGCGGGCGCTGATTGGCGGAGCTCCCCGAGTGGCGTCTCGCGGCCCCGCCCCCGCCGCGCCCGCTCAGCCGGGAGGCAGCGCGCCTGCCGGTCCCGTGCCGCGCCGCCCCTCCCCAACACTCCCCATCCTTAAAGCTCGAGCGCCGGCGCCCCGCCTGTTGGAGTGGGCGCCGGGATCCGGGCGGTGAGCTGCGGGGCGGGCCGGGCCGGCGGAGAGAGTCCGAGGAGTGTCGGCCCGACCGGGAGGCTGCGGCGCTGTGGGGGAGGGTCCGGCGCCATAGCTGCCTTCCGAGCGCCGCCCGTCCCGTTCGCCCTCGGCGGCTGCCCGGTCGGGACTAGTGCGTGAGTCGGCGCGCCGCCCGCCGCCCGGGCCGCGACCATGTTCGACCGGACGCGGCTGCCGTACGTGGTCCTGGATATGCTGTGCGTGCTGCTGGGTACGTCCGCGCCGCCCCCCGCCGCTGCTGCTGCCGCCACCGCCGCCGGGACCCCGCTTGGCAGCTGCGCCCCGCCCCCCCCGCCCGCCTGTTCGCACCCGCCTTGCCCGTCGCGCCCGCTGTTGCCCCCGGCGTAGGGCGCCCCCAGCTCTGCGGCTTCTGGAGCGACAGGAGCCGCGGGCTGCAGTCCCGGGGCGAGGGCGGGGGGTCCCACAGACAGGCGCCACTGCCCGCTTTATCTCACTGCTGGGAAGCAGTTTAATTTTCCGTCTATAAAAGGCCAGAACGCTCCTAATTAGAAGGTGTTACCAGGTTGTAAATTGTCAGGTTGCGAAGGGGTGAGGGTGCCAGGTTTCTGCCTATAGGTCTGGAGTGCTTGCTTTTGCTTTTTTGGGGGGCGGGGGCGTCCCAGACCTGCCGCTGCTTCACTGCGCGCCCCTCGCCCGCGCGGCTTTGCTCTCCTGTGACAGCGCTTGTGCGGCGTCTCCCGGACGGGAGCGCTCAGCTCCGGCTCGCCTTTGCTCCTCTTGGACAGGACAGCGCTGAAGTCATCTGAACAAGCAATAGGCGTTGGAGGGAGGCACTTTCACCTTTTAAAATACGCAATGTTGTTAAGGCAGGGCGTTGCGAACTCCTAACGCGCGTGGGAACCGCGACAAGACCCGCCGGAGGGCTGGGCTGCCCTGCCCGCGAGTGGGTATCGGCGCCACGGCCCTGGCAGCGTCTCAGGCGGCGGCCGGGTGACTCGCGAGCAGCCCCGTGCAGATCTGCGGGGGCTCCAGGTCTGCGGGGAACCCCGGGGTCAGCGCAGCGCCCCGCGCTCCTGCCCCAGCCGGCTGGCTGCCTAGGTGCTTGCGGCCTCGCGGCAGACTTGCGCCTTCTGTTACCCGGTGTTTGTGGACGGAGGATCCCTTTTGATTATTTATGAAACATTTTTATTATTTACCAAGACGCTTCCAGTATTGTTCCGCAGTGAAGCCTAGGGATTCAGGGTAGGGAAGGGAGACGCAGTTTTGGAACACCATTTTTAAGGAGACACAAGTCACAAGCAATCGCTTCAGGTGTCAGGACCTATTAATAATGTCGTTAAAATATATTCACATTCACTTATTTTCAACAGGAAGCTTGTCTTTGCGTTTTAGCTGGTGCTCAGTGTGTTACGCTTCTTTTATATTTTCACGGAGCAAAAGGGAAATGTTTGGTCGGAGGTGATTGGGATATTATCCTGTCATCGCTGTGTATTGCGTCCTGCCAGAATGACATATCAAATTCCCCTTTTCCTACCCTGTGGGAGTTAATAATTTATAAAACAACCATTTTTTTTTCCTGAGCCAAGCACTGTCCTGCTTGACGGAGGAAACTTAATCACACTCTGAGGGAGCTGAAGCTCCTGTTATTAAACACAGACCACACGGTGGGTCCGCGTTGTGTTTGCTTTTTAAAGGGACGTGGAACGCAGTGCGGTTTTAGAGGTTAGGGTTCTTGTCATCTGTGTTGTCAACACGGCCCAGTGTCCACTGGCCTTTAATCTCAGAGGGGACCTGAGAGGCACAGGGCTTATCAAGGAGGCAAAACTGTGTTTCGGGGTTTTAAGTATCTTTGATGGTTTTGGAAAAAGCTTCTTTTTGAAGATTTATGCACCGAGTATGTTTTAGGAAAAGAAACCTGCATGAAACACGTTTCTACCTCAGAGGTTTTTTTTTTTTTTTTTTTAAAGTAACTCAGTGTATTGTCATGATGAGACCCAAATTCCCTTTTTCTCAATATAAAATGAAGTACTGACCTATTTTAGTTCAGTTATAAGATGAATGTACAATTAACACCATCAACTCTGTTACAAACAACAGTGAGCAGGCCACGGTGGTGCAAGGGAAGCAAAACCTTTTCATGTTGCGTTTTGGAAGACAATGTGTTTTTATAGCAAACTCACCTTTCTTGTGGCGTCTAAGAGTCATTTTTAATTTATTTTTATTCACCTCCCTGGCGGCCTAAAATCATGGTAGTGGAAAGAGGGTTATTAGCCTGGCATTAACTTTTTCTGTGGAAAACTACAGGTAAGAGTTGACTGTACCAACAGAAAGATGATTAAGCACTTCAAAATACAGGGCTCTGTGAAAATGATTCATAATTACAATGTAAATATGTCCCAGGTTCTGATAATAACCACCCAGCGCCAGACAGTGTATCCATTTTCGCAGGACGGTGCTGTGTGAGCGTGTCACCTGGCTGCTTCGTAATTTTGCGGCGGGCGGCGCCGGCCGAAGCGACCCTGTGCGTGGGCAGACAAGCACTTCCGCCCCGTGAGTTCCTCTCCACGAAGCACCCAAGCTGCTAGTTCCTTCGGCAGATCTGTTCAGTTCTTGGAGAAGGAGCGAGGCTGTTGAGAGAGGAGGTGTATTTGACCTCTTCCTGAAATGGAGTGCCGCCCTGCATCTGTCTCTGGCTCTTTGGGGGATGGGTTTTGTAGAAACGGCCGTCAACACCCGAGTGCACAAGGAAGGCTGCCCTGCAGGGGGGCGCGCCCAGCGTGCGGGACCAGGTCCTGAGTGAAGCTGACTGGTGTTGAACTGCTGAGGGCCGCCCCAGATTTTGTCCGCCGTGGCCTTCGGCTGCCAGTCAGTGGGTCCGAGTCCACCAGGCCGTTCAGAGCGTGTTGACTGAAGGCTGACTCTGTGCCAGGCCTGGGAGGCGGTAAGGACAGGGAGATAGGAAGACGCCCTGCCCCGCCGCAGCGCAGGGTCTCCGGAGGGAGGAGCAGGAGGGAGGAACGAACCGGAGCTATAGTACATCGAGATAAGCGCACCGAGGGAGGGCTGGGACAGGTGCCCTTTGAGAGAGAGGCGGGAGTGGTCCCAGATTTGATGCACTACCGATAAGCGGGCTATCTGTTTACTCTCCGATGCAGAAATGACAAAAGCTGCTTGGAATTACTTTGGGGATCTTTTTGTCCCTTCCGCAAACTGATACAGGGCAGCAGGAGCGCAGGCAAGGACCTGCGACTGTGACTTCGCCACAGGCTGTCCCATGCTGTCCTGTAGATTGGGATGGAACTGGCAAACCGTTGGTGGACCTGTGCCTTGTTGCGTGGCGGTCACTTAGAATCCCTTTCTCCGCCCCTGCAGTCTTTGCTCTGCGCTGCTCTGCGCTCTGGGACGTGACTTCTGTGGACTGTGTCAGCTGAGCTCTTGCTCTTTGGTGTCAGTCTGGCTCTGGCCGGTGGGACAGGAGCCGAGGCCTGGCAGAGCCAGTGCCCTCCTGCCGGTGGGGCTGCCGGAGCTGCTCTGTGTTTTGCGAGCAGGTCGCACCTTCCATTCAGCGGCCTCTGCCAGCTCCAGTTACAGCACTTCTGGGTTCCGGTGACCCCCTTAGCCGCCCTGTGGGCCTGCAGGCGGCGATGCTCCCTGACCCTGCGGCCGGGGCCTCTCTCCCCTCCCTGGCCTCCCCCCTGAATCCTGCCTCTGCCTTTGACGGGGGCCCCTTCACTAACCCCTCTGAATGCTCCCCGGGGAGTGTGTTTTTGCCTGGACTCTACTGCTAACCCTCAGGCGTGTCCAGAACAGATCTAAGGTAGCTCCGCGCTGCACGGGATGCCAGCTGCAGCCGCCCCCAGCAGCAGGTGCCGACGGGCCCAGGGGCGCAGCGGGGCCCGCGGGGCCGGGAGGGCGCCCGGCGCCCCAGTGCGCTCCACATGTGGGCACCGCTCTGCCAGGTGGCAGCCAGCAGCCGGGGCAGACAGCTTCGGCCACGAACGCGAGGTGGTCCTGGGATCCTGTTCCTCGTCGGGCCCCAGCGCCTCGCCGCAGGGCTGGCTTCGCTCTGCCCTGGACGTCTCGTTCCTGAGCCGGCCGTCTCTCTCCGGCCCTCAGGCCGGCCCCTCTCTCCTGGGGGAAAACAAGTATTTCGTGAAAAAGTCACTTGCTGACTAGTCTCTAACGTCTGTTCCCTTTCTTTTCACTTGACATTTATTGATTCATTCACTCATTATCCAGTACGTATTTATTTAATACCGAGTAGGTCTGTGCATTGTGCGAGGTACTGAAGATAAAAATAAGTAAATAAGTACAGACAGTCCCTTGTTTAGGACAGTTTAATTTACATTTTTTTTTTTTTAAGATTTTATTTACTTGCTTTTAGAGAGGGGGAGAGAAACATCCATCGGTTGCCCCTCACACGCCCCCTACTGGGGACCTGGCCTGAAACCCAGGCCTGTGCCCTGACTGGGGATCGAACTGGCGACCTTTCAGATCTCAGGTCAGAGCTAAAGCCACTGAGCCACCCCAGCCAGGGCTGGGTGTTTTGTTTGTTTGTTTGTTTGTTTTTCTGCTTTTGACTTGACAAGGGCGTGAAGGTGACGCGCATTCTATGGGAACCGCACGTGGAACGTTAACTTGAGACCCCTCCCCAGTCTCCGGTCCAGTGGCAGGCCGCATGGCGCGCTCTGGGGGTGCTGGGCCGCGGCAGCCTGGCCCCTGAACGCGGGGGGCCAGAGCAGGTGCTCTGCAGAGTCCGTGTCTCCTGCCTCGGGTGGAATTCGAGACGATGGTCCAGCTCTGGGCGAACGCAGGAGCCCTGAGCCCGTTCGAGGAGGGTGTGGAAGCTGTGATGCTTGCTGGGTGGGGTATGCCACACGCATTTTCAGCTTGCGGTGGGCGCGTGGGGGCCGAGCCCCACGGGCAGTCGAGGGCGTCTCTCAGTGGGTGAGCACGTAGGACGCAGTGCCCACCCTGATCGCTTGCTGCAGCCCCTTCTGATACCCAGACTCCTTTTGCTTCTGAGGAAAGTTGACCAGGTGTTTCTCTTTCCTCCTGGCCACAGAGGAGGGTGGGATCTCAAAAAATGAACAAAAATTTGTCAAACCTGGCCTATTCTAGGGTCAGACTGGAGCCCTTTTGCAAGGCTTTTTCTGTCTTTAAATGGCCAGTTGGAACAAGAGCAGAAGCCTGAAGGAAATTGGTACTGCCGGTCGTGGATGTTACACGGCTGAGGTTTAACTTAAATTT